CGGCGGGCCTGCTGCTGGTCGACGGTAGCTGAGCTTCACGAACGGACGGCGGAGGAGCAGGTTCGTCGGGCTTGCGGGCGAAAGTAGACCGGCAGCCGGTGGACCTTCGTGAACGACGGCTGCACGCACAGGATATGCGCCGGAGAAGCTTGCAGGTGGTGAGGGTGGCGTTGCTGCTCGCGGAGGAAGAAACTCGCCGGAAAAAGCTCACGAACAGTGGTGCTGCTCGTCGGAAAAGGAGCTCCTCGCGGCGTGGTAGAGGGTGTCGCGGCGCGAAGGCTGCTCACGGCGTGGCAGAAGAGGGCGTCGCGGCGCGGCGGCATTCCTGCTGTGATGACGCGGCGCGGCGGAGGTCCTAAGCGCGGCGCGGTGAAACGCTGGTCGACGGAAGGTTCACGGTCAGAGGTGGTCTCGCCGTCGGGGCTCGCCTGGAGAAGTCGCTGCCTGACTGGGACCTCTCGAACAGTTGCTGAGCGGGCGGAAATCGCCGGAATTGCGACGAGTGCTCGCGGCGGATTTCCGGTGAAGGAGGAGATGACGATGGAGACCGAAATTTAACAGAGGGGAGGTGAGGATGATAATCTGCGACGCGAATAAACAAAAGAGGAGAAGAGACGATCAACTTCCTGGTTGCGCGAGAGAAGAGAGAGCGAGAGTTTGCGTGCTGAGGGAGAACAGATTTGGCTGCGGGAAAGAGATTTGAGAAGGAGAGAATAGATACAACACTTGTATATATAGGCTTTATGCTAGGTTTGACTATCTTTAATCACAAGAAAATCGCACATGCACACACATCACGCGTGAAAATAAAGAGGGAGGAAAATCTGTCGGGCCGGTCCCAACTCGGGTCGCGGGCTATTGTGGGCCGGGGCACCGGTTCAATACATATAGTTCTCTCGGGCTCAAACTCTCGATTTTATTTTGCCAAAATAAAATGACTCGATTTGCACGAATATTCTCGGGCTCATTATAAAATCAAACGCACGATAAAATAAACCGAATAATAAATATATTTTACATATATATTAATACATATTTACACATCATAAATAATAAATATAAATCATTTAGACAATGAGCACTTAATCACAATTAGGCAAATAATATTAAGACATTCAATATAAATAATAACATCACAATAATAATAATAATAATAATAATAATAATAATTACTTCAAATAAATCACAAATAAATGGGGTATTACAGTTGATATCCTCCAAAGTTGCTTGATCATTAAGGCTTGATTGAACAATTTGATATCTTGGAATCCCAGGCCACCCAATTCTTTTGATAGAGTTAATTCCTTCCAAACTTTCCAATGTATGCCTTTGGATTGGTCTTTCCCTCTGCTCCACCAAAAACTGGCACACAGACGAGCAATAGCTTTACATGTGCCCTTATAAATCTGAAAACAACTCATCACAAACACTGACAAAGCATCTAGAACAACTTTAATTAATGTTTCTTTCCTAGCAGTAGACAAAAATTTGTTCTTCCAGCTCACTATCGTATTTCTCACAGCCTCCACAACAAATTTAAAAGTCTCTAACTTAGATTTCCCAATACCCAAAGGGAGTCCTAAATACCTAGTGGAATTCTGGACTTTAATCCCCTCAAGAATGGTACACACACTCCTCTTCACCCCCTCAGAAGTGTTTTTACTGAAAAAATGGAGGATTTAGTGAGATTAACCTTCTGCCCTGTGAAAGCTTTATAAAGCCACAAAATATGATTTATCAAGTAAGCCTGATCAGTTGTAGCATGACAGAAAACCAGTGAATCGTCAGCAAAAAGCAGATGGGTCTCATTACTAATTCTCGACAACGTGGTCTCATTACTAATTCTCTCAGAGCATTCACAATGTATTAGGTTCAATTTTACATATGCGGCATATAAATGGGCTTAAGTCCTGAATGATATGTACAAACCCAAGTAAAAATAAAAAATAAAAAAGTCATTCAGTGCAAAAATAAAATACTAGGTCTATAATATCTGTCAACCAATAAAAATGCTCTAAAATATTTTCTATATTAAGAGAAAAATTAAATTAGGAATAAATGTTGACTGCTCAGTTTTGTACTTTGGTCCAAAATACACACAAGTGTGGACTTGGTCTCATTTTTTTATTGCCACATAAGTTAGGCATAATCCACTTTTAATTGTATTGGAAAATATTTTTTAATAGACTAAGTCTATTTCTACATGACATATGATATTTTTGTAAGAGACCCAAAGCATTGTGGGTGCTCTCATTTGTAGTTTTGGGAAATTTTTTTTAAATGTTTAATATTTTTTATTTGTTGCTGGATATTTATTTTTTGTCTGAAAAAATGTCCCACCAACCTCAATTTTTTGCATATGAGGAACCATTTTTCTCTTTTCATACCTAAATTTCTATTCATTTGTTGCCTTCCATCCACTTTCTCTCATCTCATGTCAATTGGTGTATCATAATTTATTTAATTGCAAATATGTCATCCATTCTGAAAAGAAAAATATATCGGCTTTAAGAGAAAATTATTGTAACTCACTGTTGTTATTATAAAATTTTAACACACTTAAGCAGATATCTCTATTTATTACAAAATAGGTTGGGAGCCTTTACATGCTAAAAATTGAGATAAGTGGTTGCCCCTTGTGGTCAAACTAATTACACGAGTAAAACAAATAGTTTATAAACCAACTAATAAGCGTGACGGAGTTTACGACAAATTGGTCATCACAAAAATGTTGTTTTACCAATTATCTTTGATTTTAAAATTAAAAGTCGTATTTTAACATTCCTGCGTGGAATCAAATTTTTACCACATAATTTATTTATTTTATTAATGTTTTTAGGTAAGTTTATGAACGCAAATTCTTTTTCCGATAGTATTTTGATGTAATTTTGGATCCCTTTGTTTAAAATTTAAGAGTATCATTTTCAAACATAAATACTTTGATATTATGGGCCAGTTGTGCATCGCACAACAGAGATTCCTAGTGTTTATAGAAAAACAAGAGAAGGAAAAAAAAAAAAGCTCATAAATCATAAAAACAAGAGAGGATAAAAAAAACTTATACTCCGTTTGTTTTGAAGAATTTGAAATCACTTGATTTCAAAATTTTTGAAATATAATTTTTTTTACTTGTACACTCCTTGAATGGATGTGTTGAAAATATTATAAATAAATTACCTAGCTCGCACCGATGATGTTGACTCGCAGTGGTGATGAATATAAATGATCGCGAAAGGCACGGTCATTTCAAATGACTAGATTCGAGGAGTCGTTTCAAATACTTTAAAATAATGAATAAAATACATGTAGCATGAATTTAAAATCTTTAAACTTTCATAAAACATGCATGAACATTTGAACTTGTAAATTTGAAATCTATAAGTTTCAAATTCAAATCCTTCAAAACAAAAGAACCTATATGAATTATAATTTGTTCTCGTGTGAAACCTGTATGAAGTTTCTACAGCTTGCCAGAAAACAAGAAAACAGCTCATATGCCGCAATTCATGTTTCCCATGCTTTCGTTTATTATTTGTCTAACCTTTTTCCTTAATATTTTTGTAAAAGAAAATAAATTAGCAGTCTGACTAATTTGACCTATGCTATTGACATGTGCTATCACATGGATGTATATAGTTTTCTTTGAGAAGTATCTCAGTTCTTTTACAATTATTATTATTGTTTTTTTCTTGGCACGATATCATCATCTTATTTAATAGCAGTCTAGGATGTGGTAATAGATCTGTCAACGGTACGCATTTCAACTTTTGCCGAAAACAAGAAAGATTTNTTAAAATTAACTTTTTACGAGTCGAATTGAATTGCACTTTCTAATTAATCGATTCTAGCAGCCCAAAGTAGAAAATATTTCTGATTATACCCCTACGATTTTACTTTATTTTTGGCCACAGACGACGCTAATTTAATGTGCCAAGTTTGAGATATACCAATTAAGTGAGTTGAAGTATTTCAATCGTCCAAGTTAAAGCCGACCACGTGCAAGAAAGGGATAGAAGGACTTTCGACGTGAGCACTCTGATACTCAATCTAGTATATTTCTTAATTACCAATGAGGAACATCTTTAGTCGATACCAAAAATTCTTGGTGTTGGTAAATGAAAATTAGGTGTATTTCTTGCTAATCCATCTTAAATTGTGTAGGATGCATTACAAGATATTAGCAACAAATTTGTTCCACTGTAACAATTTGTAAGGAGTGTATGTATAATCCTAGTGAAAAATACATATCCGTTGGCAATGCAACGGCAGTATTTTTGGACAAAAAATATCCTCCGTCAATAATTTTTCATTTAGTAATTATTTTACTTCTTATAATTTCAGGCCATCGCTAGCATTTAGAGTGGAGTTACGGGCTTAGATCATCTCCAGCGTAGTGTTATATAAGAGAATTACGCTGGAGTTGCGCCCAGTTATCTCCTACAGTACATCGCTAGAATTTTGCGCTAGACTAACGAAATGTACAATACATCTCTACATCTGGCGCAATACTATTTCTTTTTTTTTCTCTTTCTTTTATATATATATTTTGTGTAGATTTTCCTTCTTTAATATTTTTTTAATATATTTTGTATGATTTTTTTATGATATGTATATATATATATATATAATACATATATATTATTGATAAGTTTTTGTATAATGTAATATTAAATGTATTTATTATGTTATATAACTTTGTACTTATTCANCTACCCTAAAGTAGAGCTAATGACTGGAGATGGCCTTCCAACTTTAGAAAACAAGCCTCGGGTTTGGTTATTAACAAAATAAGTTTTGGGTGTGGTCCCCGAATGGATATGACAAACCCAATGCCTGTTGCATGTGGGGGTACACAACTTGACCAATAAAAAAGAAAACCAAAAAATATTTATAATTATAATCTGTCTCTTTGGTCCTTTGAAGCTGGCATATTTTGTCGCAAGGCCTTGCATCTATATAAATGGCTTCACACTTGAATTATTATTTCACATAGCTACTTGCTTTTCTTGGCATACTTTTTTTTTACCTTCTTTAGGAAAATGGCTTCAAAATCTGTGCTCGTTGTTCTAGCTTGTTTTCTACTAATTAGCTCTAAGGTATGTATGTTAATCACATTGCTTTATGCCGAAATGCTTTCGTTTGCTTAGGAAATTTGAAATAATCATAATTCATTTGGAGGTTCTCTTAGTAGTTATAAGGATAATATTACAATTTACAAAGGGATTCTTTTCCTTGTTATTTTCTTATTAAATAATTAACATAATGGGTATCTTTTTTGTGATTATTACTTTATGGAGGCATGTCTAAATCTAACATGAGCTAAGGCCTTACATGTTCTCTATATAGTAGATATCAATATGCACTCCTAATTTGTTTTGTTTCTATTTTTGTTAGGTTTTGTCAGAAACAGAAACTGAAGATGTTCATATTGAGGTAATAATCAACTTTTACTTCTTATTTAGAAGCACTTTTGAAAAAATCCATTTCTTAAATAGACTCGTTCAAAATGAATTTCTTCAAAAGTCCTCAATCCTTACTTTATAGAATTAACTTGTTGCAGAAAAAACTTATTCATAAGTCAATTCTTAATTCTTAATTATTCAAATGGATTTTTAGATTCAAAAGTGAAGTGTTCCAGAAAAACCCTTATTATTAATCACTTAGCTTATTATAATACTTCGAATACTAACGTTTGTATTTTTGTTGCCTTTCTTAATTTCATTTTTGCTCACTGTCCGAAGGTTATTTAATGTTAGAGTTCTCCATAAGGTTCAAAAACTGGTTCTCTCGATGATTCCAGATATAAATGTCCATAATCTAATTTATCAAAGAAAAAACAAAATGTAGTCTTTGAAATAATTAATTTGTCAAATATTTGTGGCTTATTCTTGGTGTACAGGGCACTACACTTGTAGCTCCCACATCGACTCCAACTTATAAAAGTTCACCACCACCACCACCTAAGCTCGTACCTCCGCCACCGGCAATTAAGGCACCAACACCACCTCCACCACTCTCCAAGCAGCCTCCTCCTCCTCCTCCTCCCTCTGTAGTACGGCCAAGAAACCCACAAGGTAACATATATATTCTTAGATGTCTATTCATTAAGATTAAATTGCAGTTTTAGTCCTGCTGGTGTAACGTCGTAGTATTTTTAATCTCAATATTCTAACATTTTGTCTTTTGGTCCCGTGATTTAATAGTTTGATGCAATCTCAGTATTTTGAGAACTGAAATTACAACCAATTTTCAAATATATAGATTTTTTATTAGCATCTAAAGTCATATAATCAAAATTTTTGTTGCATTTTCAATCCTGTACGTTGTTTAAAATTTTGTTGCGGTTTCAGTACTTTGAGAACTTAAATTACAGCAAAATATGAAATCATAGGACAAAAAAGCAAAATGTCAGGAACTTTGGGACTGAAATTGCTATGCTGTTAAACCAACATCATTAAAAATGTATTTTTAATGAAATAAAAAAATCTTACAAAATGTGGATCATTTGTTTGTGTGCACGCAGAGTGCTCTCCAGCGTGTGTAGAGAGGTGCAAAAAGCATTCAAGGCAGAATAGATGCATGAGAGCCTGCAAAACTTGCTGTATCAGATGCAAATGTGTTCCACCCGGCCAATATGGAAACAAAGAAATGTGCGGCACCTGTTATGCGGGCATGATCACTCGTGGAGGAAAATCCAAGTGCCCTTAGGAAATAATACCGACTTCCAAAAATAACATCACATTAATTAATTGCCTGCCACTTTTAATTCTCCATCACTTTTTAATCATTCATGTATTTCCTGTACGAAATATGTGACGTACTAGAACATTCTCACTCAACTTTCCTAATTTCTAGTTTTATTCAGTTTTCATCCTTAATTGTGACTTGCCCGATTTTGATCTTTATTTTTGCACCTTTAATCATTATAATTTGACCATTAATCATCCATGATAAAATAGAATTGACAAGTAATAAAATATTTTACTTTTTACGTTATTCAACCACAAGAGCCTCATTGAGTTCTTCGACTTGAAAATATTTTTATAAAAAAAGATTAAACAAATAATTAATGTTTAGTAGGGCTGTACATGTCGTGAATATTAGAGCATCTCCAATGCTCAATGTTTGTAGTGGTAAATTACATTTCACATCAACACATTTATTAATATCACAATTTTTCACCCTTCAATGTACAATGTGATCACAAATGTTGTGGTGATGTGGACATAATTAATAATGTCTACAATGTAGAGAAGAATGCGGTTCATCTACATTCTCCTCCACACTCTAGCTAGCCAATGAAGAGAAGAGAGAGAATTATTATTACCATTTCTACATTATTTAATTATTTAATTAATTTTATTAATCCATATTAAATTTTAACATTTGGTAAGTAGATAATATTGTAATTAGACTACATTGTGCATTGTAAATGATTTTTTAATTTAATAGTTGTGAACACAATATTTTTTTCTACATAGTTCACAATCTATTCAATATTTTGACATTTGTCAAAATTTATCCTATGACAACATTAGAACATTGGAAATGCTCTTACATAATCATCCATGAATGATAATTTTACGTTCGATGAGTCTCCAACATGTTTTACGTGAAAATTAATTCACGAAGTATTCAGTCATATAATTGTTAAGCCCCCATGCTACACTAATTGGCGAACCGAATGTTACATGAATTGCGCGTGGAGGTCACATAAATAATTTGACAACAAAGATGAAAAATTTATCTGAAACATGTAAATATTTGAGTTTAGAAAAGAAACCCCACCTAAAAAAGTGGTATGTAACCTTGAATGCAAGTGCAGGTGTAGATGCAATTTGTATGATTCTCAAATGTTCGATAATTCTACACCTCGAGTAATATCTACAAGTATTTATGTCCTAATTTAGATGAAAAAATAATCAATTGGATAAACCACATAAATTAGAAATAAATTTAGCAATTATTAATCCATTCCCTACACGTTATTCAGGCCCAAAAACAATGGTGCGTTCGTCCCAATCCTCATAGGTCCAGCTCAAACACACCAAAATCTCAAACAATATATATATTATATAATTACTAGGTGCTGCATTTAATAAATATTTAATAAAATTTATTTTTATTTCTTTTCAGAAAGTGTTACATTTTTTTAATTAATTACTCACTAATTTATTAAAACCGTTACACCTTAATATATATTTTTATTATTTAGTTTTTGGATTAGTTACTAAATTAGTTCTAAATTTGGTAGCAAAATATTCAAATGTGTTGGCACATTCAGAGTTGTAACCGTTATATTTGGTTGCATTGTTCGAAGAAAAATTTGTTTGGAACATATTTTTTTTTCTAAAAATCAGAAACACCAATAATTTTTTTTATTTATGTTAATTTTCTTAATATAGGCCACAAATATATAAATTATTTTATTCATGTTACTAATGTAAAAGTTGCATGGTTAAAATAAAATTTAAATCTCAATTAATTTTGAATGGTAAAAATAACTTAAGAAAAAGTAATAATTTTTATATGATAGAAGTACATGACTAATTAATAAATACAAACAAAAACGTGTTTTATATCTGTGCAAATGCACAGGATCAAATACTAGTTTGCAGAAAGTCTAAGCCCAAACCTTTTCCTATTCTTGTCCATCAATCTATTTGTCATCTTCAAATCCCAATTAATCTCCTGCAATTCCTCTCTACTGTATTTCATCTTCACCTTTCACGTGGTGTGTTTGTATACAAATATATTCGCTCAAAATAATTTTTTTTATTAATTAGAATTTATTTGAAAAAAGTAGTGTGGTTAGTTATTAGTGAGATTTTGATTTTATATTAACTAACATTTAAAATAAAATAATTAAAATTGATATGATATAAAAGTATGAGAGTGGTGATAGGAAATGATAATTAGTTAAAATTATGTGAGTGGATAAATAGTAAATTAAAGTTGATGTGATGTGCAAGAATGATTTGTTGATGTTATTTAATTATAATAAAAATACTGAGGATAGTAGGGTTGAGTTAAAGTTGAGTTAAATTTTGAGTATGAATTAAATAAGGATTAAGATACTTCATATACAAACACACCCTTTTGCATAACTCACATGAACTCACACACACACCAACACTCCATATGTACAACCTCTCGAATCTTGCTCTATCCTTCTTAATTTGGGCGATTGAGACCAGCGAGCATTGGAGAGAGGTACAGTTTCAAGTCTTGTGTTGGCGATATGTGGGAAGCGTACCGACAGAGGCGTCATGAGGAAGCCTTGCGACTCAAATGACTGGCAAGCGATGGCGACAGCCACCGAATACCCGAAAACAGTGATCGGCTGATATAGCCTAGAGGCTTACCCCAGCCCGTGAGCCCTAAAGCTTGAGTGCTGGTGTTGCTGGTTGGCTGAAGAGGCTATAAAATTGTCATTCCCCTCTTAGACGTCCGCAGAGAGTAAGGCTGAGCATGGGAATTGGAGAACTCCGAACTGTTCCAAAAATCGAACCGAAATCACTCCAAACGGAAAAATAATCGTTGACCGTGTATGTTTCTCTGAATAGAACCGAACCAAAAAAATAAATGGTACGGTTCTGGATTTTTTCACAAATAGCCGTACCGAGAACCGAAACGAACCGTCCCATACCGTACCGAACTGAAGAACCGAATTATAAAATTGGATGTGTGTTATTACTATATTTTATGTCAATTTTGATCCTATATAATTTGAGAATTTTTAAAATTCAAATAAAATATAGTAATAACAAATAAGCTCCACTTAATTTAATGCTTAGATACTTGACCTACAATTGAATTTTTTCTATTTTAAAAAAGTCAAAATATTTTCTTAAAAAAATATTTAAACTTTACATAAATTTGTCGATACTTAGTCTTATTCTATCTTATAACTAACATGGTATGGAAGGTTGTAGAAATATTATTTTAATAAAAAAATATATTAAAAATAAAATCTTTAGTATGATGAAGTATTGATGAATGTTGGATATAAAAAAAATATATAAAAATTAAAATATAATTAAGTGGTCATTCAAAATAATTTAAAAATAATTAAAAATCTCTGAATATCCGAACCGAATCAAACCAACATGAACCGTTCCGATAGTCTCGAATACCGAACCGAACCGAACCGAACCAAAAAATAAAACTCTCTGAATCGAATCGAACCGAACTGATTACTTGGTACTGAAGTGAATAAGATTTCACTCGGGCTCCTTCAACTCGAATGGCCACCGTACCTGCAAGAACCCAACGCCGGGAGGGGTCCCGGCGTCAGGCCTCCGACGCTCAAGTCAGAATCACTCCAAAACTCCAAATCTCAAGTGTATAATTATGAATGTAGAGAGAATGGGAGAATGAGATGCCTTAGCCCCTTTTATAGGGGGGGGGGTGTACCTTATGGCCCAAGTTGGGCTTGTCTAATCGGATCGTGCCACGTGTCTTGGTCATGTGTAGGCTTATTCTTCAGTATATTTCATTTTTATCCATTAAACCCGGTCTAGTATAGTATCATTTATCCAAATGAACACCGAATGACCACTAAGGTCAAAAACCGAGAGACCTTCCTCTAAGGTCGAACACCGAAAGACCTACTACTGAGGTCGAAAAACGAGTGACCCGCCACTGGGATCGAACACCAAAAGCCGAACGACCACTGAGGTCGAAAAACGAGTGACCCGCCACTGGGTCGAACACCAAAAGTCGAACGACCACTGAGGTCGAAAACTGAGTGACCCGCCACTGGGGTCGAACACCAAAAGCCGAACGACCACTTAGGTCGAAAATCGAGTGACCCGCCGCTGGGGTAGAACACCAAAAGCCGAGCGACCACTTAGGTCGAAAATCGAATGACCCGCCGCTGGGGTCGAACACCAAAAGTTGAACGACCACTGAGGTCGAAAATCGAGAGACCCGCCACTGGGGTCGAACACCGAAAGCTGAACGACCACTGAGGTCGAAAACCGAGTGACTCTCCACTGGGGTCGAACCTTGATTCCTAGAGCAGATTTATATGCTCCTCATTTGGCAATGTCGACTCTCCTTTGCTATCTCCCGATCTGCTTACTTTGGTAGATTTCCTCGATCAATCCCCGAAGTCTTGAATTTGAAAATTTGAACTCACGTCTATTGTTTCTCGACCATCATGTTCGAGCTCTCTTCATTCAAAGATAAACCTTTTCTACCACCTCGTCCTATCATCATCGCCCCCTTAGTTCAAAATTTTAAATTCAACCCTGCTGTTTATCCTCTCGAAAATCGAATGTCCTGACACCACACCGAAGTCGAAAGCCGAATTCGACAAAACCAAAATCAGGTAAAAACCATTGACCTGCCACCGAGGTCCTCGAATAATCTCTATGAATTGCACCAAATGAACTCCATCGGCCTACCACTGACGTCGAAAATAAAATTTAACAAAACCAAGTCAAGTAAAAACCATCGATCTGCATAACCTGAATCTGTGAACTAATTCAAGTGAACTCCATCCACCTGCCAATGAGGTCGAAAACCAATTTCAACAAAATCAAAACCATACACAAAATCAGGTAAAAATAATCGATCTGCCTCTGAGGTCTCCGATAGGCTCCATATCTTCAACGACCCAATACTAGGATCGACCAACCAGCCCGAAGGCCTTAGTCATGGTGGATTTTTTTCGTCGAACACATGCCCACCCTCGAAGGAGTGGTCGATACATGTGACCACCCAGCCTAACGGCCTTAGTCGTGGTCGATTTTTGTCGCGAACACATGCCCACCCTCGAAGGAGTGGTCGATACATGTGACCACCCAGCCTCATGACCATAGTCATGGTGGAGTTTTGTCTTCGAACACATGCCCACCCTCGAAGGAGTGGTCGATACATGTGACCACCTAGCCTCACGGCCTTAGTCGTGGTGGATTTTTGTTTTCGAACACATG